AGGCTGCCCAGGGAAGTGGTTGAGTCCCCATCCCTGGAAGTATTTAAAAGACGGGTAGATGAGGCGCTTAGGGACATGGTTTAGTGGACATGGTGGTGTTGGGTTGACGGTTGGACTCGATGATCTTAGAGGTCTCTTCCAACCTTAATGATTCTATGATTCTATGAAAAGGAAGGAAATGCCAAGTTAAAAGACTTCAAAAATAAGTTTTTTCGTAAAGCATTATGTAATTGAACCCCATATGCATGGGATTTTGGCAAAACCAAAACATTCTCTGGCTCTTGTAATCATGTTTAACGATGAGCAGAAACTGAGTGTAATGTGCTGAAGATCATCTACAAAACTCAACTACTCAGCAGGACAGACAAAATGACAAAACCCATGAACATTGTATAATTAACTAGTAGTCTCTTCTGAAAACAGGATGTGTCTATTCTCAGGTGCAGCAATTGCTAGATTTACAGTAAGTCAAAGAATAAGGATCAGTCAAGGATTTTTTGTCAAGTCACTATAAATAGAGAAGTTCACATGTCAGACAACAACAGGAAATTATTACACAAGTTAACGCTAAATTTCAGCTGCAATGAAAATTGCAAGGTCTCAGATACCTCCTCAGATTCTTCAATAAAGTATTTCTCCAAGTATTTGGCTTTGTGATAAGCTCTTAGCATATTGGTGCAGATCCCCTGCTTTATGATAAAGTAGTTACTCTGTGATTTCGATAGAAAACATTTTTCATGTTGTGCTAAAAGTAATAAACCTATTCTCTGCCAAAGGAAAAATAAATGAATACAATCTTTGTCACCATGTTTCTGGAATTACAAGTGTAAATTTGAATAAAGACATAACTGAAGAGATGTGACAGTCACCTGCTCCCACTGGAAACATTTTTTAAGTACCTGATGAGCATTCAGCTATGACCTAATTGTTCAAACAGGAGTATCTAGGGAAGATGCAAAACAGTAAAAAATGGCCTTCATACTATAGTGCTTCCTCTTTCTCCCTTCTCATGTAGACATCAGTCAGACTGAATATTTTTTTGTTTCCAACTGAACAAGGATAACGTAACATCTTAAAAACAAGCCTTCCATCAAGTCAACTTTTCCTACTGGAAAGTTTCAATCTATTTACAAGAATTGAGAAAAATTATACTTTGAATAGACTGGCAGAAAAACATCTGTCAACCCATGTATTTCTGATTCATGTCTAGAATCCAACACTGACTGCCACTTGAGACAGATGATTAAAAAAAGCTAGCTTTATATCAAAGATAAAACAATCAGAACGTGGTCAACAGGACCACTTTTGTCATCAGTGAAAAGACAACAACCAACTCTATCTGCTCCATCAAGACAGCAGTACAAAAGGCACTAAGACCATTCTAACAAGAACAGAGCCCTACACAGATCAGATAATTGAAATGGAAATAGGCAGGGGTATCAAGACTTAAAAAGTGAAGACACAGTTAGTGTCAGGGAAACATGACCTCTTTCCTCTACTACTTAGTTTTCTGAAAACAGGAAAAAGTTTAAGTGATGCCAGCAGGTCAAGGGAGGTGATCCTTCTCCTCTCCTCAGCACTGGTGAGGCCACACCTGGAGTAGTACTGTGTCCAGTTCTGGGTTGTCCATTGCAAGAGAGGCATGGACATACTGAAGAGAGTCCAGTAAAGGGCCACAAAGATGATGAAGGGTCTGGAGCATCTCTCCCATGAGGAAAGGCTGAGAGAGCTGGGACTGTTCAGCCTGGAGAAGAGAAGGCTCAGGGAGGATCTTATCAATAGATATAAATACCTGAAGGGAGGGTACATAGAAGACAGAGCCAGAGCCAGGTGCCTTCCAGTGGTGCCCAGTGACAGGACCAGAGGCAATGGGCATGAACAGAAACACAGGAGGTTCCCTTCAACATCCGGAAACACTTTTTTCCTGAGAGGGTGACTGAGCAATGGAACAGGTTGCCCAGAGAGTTTGTGGAGTCTCCTACCTTGGAGATATTCAAAAGCTGTGTAGACATGGTCCTGAGCAACTGGCTCAGGAGGTGGCCCTGCTTGAGCAGCAGAGTTGGACAGGATGACCTCCAGAGGTCCCTTCCAACCTCAGCCATTTTGTGATTCTGTGAATGGATCAAACTCCCCGAAGACCCAAGGACAGTACTAAATACAACATCAAGATACTCATCCCTTGGGTTTTTGGTCCATGAAATTGGAACCTTTTAAATTAGCACTGAAAGTAATGTTTTTCTTCTCAATGGAACAGACTTCAAATACTCGTGTAATTGGTTACTTTGTCTCATTGAAGGGACAACACAAAACCTCCTGCTCCTTAATTCAATAACAAGGGCATTGAGTGTTTGCGTATCTACCTAAGGAAATTTATCCAAAAATATAGTAGATGCTGAAACAATTACACACAATTTCTGTAAAAGCCAGTAAACAGAATTATCATATGATGCAGGTATTTACAAAATAAAGAGTTAGAACTGCAGTGCAGTTAGAACAGATAAGGAAGTAAGTGTAAACAAAACATAACTAGGTATTAAAAATATCACGCACAATATGAAATAGCCACAACTACTACTTTTAACCACTTTTAGCCTTTTCTGAGCTAATACTAATACAAGGCAAACGTGTTCCTGATTGACAACACAATAAATTAAAGGAAGATGTCACAGAACTACCTTATCAACTTCTCTCTGTGTTGCTCCTTCCTTTTTCAAACGTTCTTGTTCCACACACTTTGCATTGTAGTTTTCCTTTGATTTCTGTAAGGCCTGAGTTATACTTTGAATATTTTGCACTGCTTCCAATGTTCCTGAAACGTCTTCTTTAGTCTGCCAAATATCACGTAGTTGTCAAAAACAAATCGTTTTAATTTTAATGTTAACAAGTCATTGAACATGCATAAGAAAAAAATTAATAACCTTTTTATAAGCTTTGATTTGTTCATCTCCATACTTGTGAACTTCTTTTATTAGCTCTTGTAATCTCCGCACAAGATCCAAATGACAGCTTGCTAGTTTTTCTGTTGAGGTTCTGAAAACATCCCAAACTGGTGCAAATGTCCTAGATTGAGGAAAATAATATGTAACGTTCATTTTTTCCTTTTAGTTGGCTATAATATCTTTTTAATAGTGCTAAAGTATAATTGATAAGTTTACAGAAGTTCAGTTCTGTTCCTAAAACTGAAATAAACAAAAACCCCAACGACTGCTACAAATTCTTATTAAATGTTTCAAATGTACTTGGAATCCTATCTGCTAATTTTTCCATGTTTTATGTTTTACCTGTATTGAGTCTAACGAGTAAAACACAGCAAAGTTCACTTAATCTTCTCTACTATCAGCACACAATAATGACAAATGATATTGCTAAAGATGATGCAAGAGCAGCTCAAAATAATTTAACACGTAGAAGTATTTTTATGTGTATACTTGAATAGCGCAAACAAATCAGAAGTTACTTGGTTAGTTAAGCTTCTAGTTGTCTTACATCATTACAGCCACAAGATGCAGGAAAAAATATTGGCAAAGATGGTCGGCCACTAAAAGGCATTTACTGATTAACAGAGATTAACTGTATGGCAAAGGAAGGTGGGGGACAGGTCATTCCTCAGATTCAGATTTCTATACTGAATGGACTTCTCCAGCTATTCTAAAGATTCATTCCTACCTCAATCTCCTGGTTAATGCTGCTGAAAAAATCAATACTATACATAGCCTTGAAAGCAATGATGTCCAAACTAACATGCAGATACAGAACCTTTGAAGAGCAGGAACAACTGGTATCAAATTATCCACTGATGAAAGCTCCCACATTTCTAGCTGTGATTACTACAAATAAAAAAATCTAGACTCATATAAGAAGCCTGAGTTGTTGGCATAATCTTTCTAATGAAAAAACATCCATTAATCATTCAAATTTTTAAAAACATACCCCGTGTATAAAATTTTAATTAAACTATGGAATAAATCTATTGAAAAGTCTCATTCTTAACATCTCTGAGGACAGAGATAACACTCCAGAAAGCAGAAATAATAAATAAATTTACTGCCACATTTGTTGATCGTATGTTCTCTCTTCAGAATAATTACCATAGGCTTGGGAGCACAGAATAGAAAGTCACATTCTTTATTATGTCTGAAAAGAACTTAACCTTAAACACAGAGGAACAGATAGTTCCTCCGTGTTTGGGTTTTGTTTTTTTTTAAACTGTGAATAAAGAACTGCACTGTCTTTTGTTTTTGTTATAGCTGCATGATATTTTGCATGTTTGTTGAAGAACTAACAATCATTTTTAAAGGAGGAAAAGTTATGCTACTTTCAACATCATCAATAAAATATTCAGAATCAAACTCCATTCTTAACATGTATGCAGTTAATTATTTCTCTCTTACGTACACTTACCCAAGTTGTGTATAATTGCTCGCTGATTTGGCTAGTTTTGTCATTGACCTTGAATATGCCTCCTCTATTGTAGCCCTGTCAAAGAAAGCCATCAAAAGCATAATCAAAATTCTGAAGATATTTGAACACAGAAGAATATGCATTCTAAGGGTTCAAAACAGAGGACTTTTTACTTTAGCAATCTTTCTGGAGAAAAGCCAACACAATACCTATTCAGTTCCTAGGTGAGCACAGTGGTTTCTTACATGTAAACAGTTTAGGTGTTAAATACACACAAACATAAGACAGTTTACCTACAAAATCTTCCCAGTACTTAAAGAAAAAAAACCTGCAGGGGCAGCCTAACCTTCGTATGTTTTCACTTCTTCAAAAACAAAATTTCTACATCCTTTATCAAGAACAGCACAAAGATATCTATCTTTTAACCTGCCCCACACAAGATTTACCAACATTGAGCAGATTGCCTGACACAAAATTTACTCCTTCAAATGATATATTTCTGAACCACAGATCCAACTGTCTCTCAGTTCTTCTAGTACTTGACCATTAACAAATACTCAAAAACAAAAATGAAAAAGTGAAACAACACTGTTGAAAATTGAATTGGTATTGACTAACTGAACACAGCCAAGGAGGAAACCTTCTGCTCCTTCTAGGTATATCCAGCTGGAACAGCAGATACAGTATAGAAATATATCATCATTACAAATGAACACATTTCAAACATTTTTGTTTTTTTTCAGAGGAAACAACTTCGTAATTTCAAAAGGTTCCTAGAGAAGTTTTGAAAGACAAAATCTTAAAAAAAAATCCTTAAGCTGACTATAATAAAAAAACTCCAATTTTCCCACATCCTATACATTTTTTCTTTTTTTCATTACTATTTCTAAGGCTGGAGAAAAGGGAACAATAGACTCTTCCCCAATTAGGCTGCACACAACCAAAACACTATTCTGAACAGTGCAAGTAGCAGAGACTGGCTTCATACAAACATGTGTCCTTTGTGCCCTAAGCGGTGTGTACATCCAAATACACTCAACCACCTTTCCTCTCTCTTTTAGATTGCTCCATAAAAAAATCAAATTCTCTGGCTCGTCTGGAGACTCCAGCACTCCTGACTGACCAGGTGACTACAGCACATACAAAGGTTAAGTCCTCTAACTTGTTAAAAGCATTACCACCAACTCAGTTCTGTCTCTATCTATCCAGCAGTTTTCAGTTTTCACACTCCTATGTCTCCACTTCTGAAAAAAACTGCCAATATGTTCTAAAGGAATGGAAGGACAGATGTGAATAAAGTTCAGATGTATGTAAGTTTAGTTTTCATAGGGAACAGTTCAGAAAATCAGGTACATAAAAGTCAGAGCATAAAAACATTAGATCTAGGAGGCTCCTAATAAATGTTCATCCACTCACATATTTCTAGCAGAAAACACTACTGCAAAACAATATTCAGACTATACTCTGTGGAGGAAGGAGGGGAACAGATAATTGTGTGCAACATCTCTTCTTTGCAATAAAAAAAAAATGCAAAATAGAACATGGTCAAGACAATTGGACAGAGGTAAAATACTGTTGAAGTACTGCCCAATCCAATTTCTTTTGAGATCAAGAATTTGACCCATGTGAATAACGTGTGTGCTACTGAACCATATTTATGTCCTGGGAAATTGATTGACATCCCACAGTAACTTCACAACAGTAGTGAAGGGCTTCACTGCCTAGATATGAACACTCGTAAACATTTTTACCAAAGTGAGGACACAAAATATTTATGGTCCATCTATTTCCTTGAAACTACAAACTATATGCCACAAACTACCACTAGCTTAGACTGAGATTGATCAGTGATGCACCCCTCACTTGAAAAGTACCACCTATTTGGCATTCAGCTGCTTTTTTTAATGGCAGCCTGGCATACTGAGGTGCTTCAATAAAGCAGAGCTGAAGAAAACACAATGGAACAGATAGGATACCAGGTTTAATACCATGATGGGAGAATGTCACTGGAAAGGACTGAACTTACTGCTGCTGGTCTGCATCACTAGCAGATGTTTGCCAATCCCAGGGCAAGTTGCTCTTAATGAACTATATCGAAGCCTTGTCAAATAAATGAAAATGTAGCACTAAGATTCTAGTGAATCTTGGTGTGCTGAGAACTGAAATTTTTCGCATATTTTACCAAAAATGCTGTAAGATAGCTTCATATCTCTTTGACACATCCAGATCCATGCATAAGAAGAGAAAATACATTTCTTGATCTCTCATTGAAGATAAAGCGCCCATGTGGATCCTCATGTATTCCTACATGGTCATTAATCTTTAGTCTTAAATGTTATTTAAACTTGCTTATCTGAGAAAAAAATAATTGTCTCCTTCTTGACAAATCACTAGAATTAATTAGCCGAAACTTCTGCTGAAACATCTTTAAGATGTGGAGAAATGTCCAAATATTTCATTTATTGATTCCAAAGGCACATCTCATTTAAAGTTTAATTTGAAGGCGGTGATAGAGTGAAAAAACCTAGAATGTCACATTATTTTTACTAGGAATTTTGTATAGAATGAACTGTCAAGTTTTATTTATGTCACTATAATGAAGAATCCAAGCCAGATACAGCATCAAGTTATTTTTACCCATTTGCATAAGACCTTTCACCTTAGGACCAGCATGAATAAAACAGAGCATGCCCAAAGAATACAACATAAAGGAGGTAAGAAGCAGAGTGAGAGAGCGAGTTTCTGATCTAGAGAGCTTCTGATCTAAGTATGGAGGTAAATCAAAATGCAGCGGATGTAAAGCTAATAAAATTAAATGTGTCCAGGTGATGAACAGCTTAGGTCTACGACTTACTGCTATAAAACCTGACTGATTCCAAGAACTAAAGCAGGTTTCAAAGGAAAGATCCAGGCACTCACAAAGATAACACAAGGCAAACATTTATAACAGTCAATATTAAAAATGCAAGCTTGTGAAGCCCTAAGCATTTCATGCTAAACATGAACAGTGTGATATCCCTCCACTCAATCCAAAGCAGGATTTCACTGGAACCCTGCCTGGCTTTGTTATGTGTTCTCTGGAATCAGGGATTCTTGAAACACAAGATTCCCTGGTTTCTCTAGTCCTTCCAGACTGCCTATCACACGTGGACTCTGGAACTCACCCGTTTCTACTTAATGGAAAGATTTTTGTCATTTTCTCCAATTCACTTTGAAACTATGCAAACGTCACTGCAACTGAGTACCTGCTGGATTTGTGGTGGTTACATTTTGTGGAAATTAAAAAAAAAAAAAAAAAAAATTTCTTTGTTGAGATCTATTTGAGGCCAAAACTGAAATTTTGATGAAAAATTCCAGAAAACAAAGGCTGGTTTTTTGGACAGCTTTTACTGCAAGAAACCTTCACTGAAACAGGTCCTCAGTAAATCTCTTGCAAGTTTTTTCCGTGCGTCATCTGGTGTCAGTAACTGAATTAATACAAAATTCCAAAGCAGACATATAATTAATTTTGTCCAGAATGGAAATTCTTATGTTCAACATAGCAGCAGCAGTCTTCTGTCACAAAGAAGAACTAAAAACAGCACTAGGTCATTTGTTTCGGAAGTTGTCACATCTGCAGATTTCAGTTCTGTCCCTTCCATCCCATAGAAAAGAACCTGTGTTATTTTCTGCATATTATTTTCTTGTCCCTACATATCACTCCCTTTTCTTTAACAAACCTAGTTTCTCAACATCTTAATCTGAAAGTATAATTTTTTTAATATACTAGCAGTTGCTAATACCCTAATGGTACATCTACGGTGAAAAACCTTGTGAGACTGATAATTTCTGCTAGTTTAAATTATTGCTTTTCTTCCAAACATGATGAAAAAATTGGATTAATTTAAATAAATTGCTGGACATCTAATGTGACACTTCCAGCTTTTTATTCATAGTTTAATTCAAACCTGAAAAATTAGAAGCTTGTTATTAATTGATGCTTGAGAGTCACTATTCAGTTCTAAGTGAATGGAGTAAACCTAGATATTCTTGTAGGATAAAAGAGATATTTTTAAATGCTTGTTGATTTTTACATATTTTGCATGTTACTGTTAAACATAATAATAAACTTAAATAAAAACCACAAACAGGATTAAAGAGCCAGAATTACCAAGGATGAATACTTACCTTTCTCTTATAAAGTCTGCTAAGTCTTTTGTTGACAAATGTCCGTGTTTCATGTTGTGATAGAGGACGTCAAAGCCATTGTTTCTTTCCCCCTAAAGATTGTTAAAAGGAAAGTAGAAGTATGAAACACAACATGCTAAAGCAACTACAGAACAAAGTAGAGAACCAATGCATTTTAATAACTGATGAAGTTCCATGAAGTGAATGATTTTTAATGGTTCAGCTTTTTACCAATTGCTGTTAGTTCCCTTCAATCCCCTATATGTAAAACAAACTAAAATCACCTCAGCACCTACTACCCTTCGAATGACAACTCTTCTATTGCATATTTCTAGGCTATATTCAAAGCCATTTCTTCTCTAGATTTCTACAGGTCTTCTATTCTTTCACTTTCCATCTTATTAAACACATACTTAATATTGTACTCTCTCTTCATTCTCTCATATCTTTCATTATTTTCCATGAACTAAAATTCATGGAAATCACTGGATATCCTGCCTCCCCAGTTCTTCACACTTCATGTATCTTCCTCTGCTTTTTGTAAAATTGGTAAAAAAAAAAAGGAAAAAAAAAAATCACTAATCTCTTCCTTCTCACAGGTAACTTCCCTTTGTCTATCCTTAAGTTTAGTTTTAAAACTTAAAACATTTTCCAGTGAGTAAGGCATACCTCATCATTAAAACTGAGACAATGCCCTAAACACTGATTAATAAACTCAGCCAGCTTATCACCTCTGGCACTATGGTGAACTTCCCCCGGAGAGCAGAAAGCAACAATAGAAATGAAAGGAAGGGGAGGCAAGGCACGGCATAACAGCGCTGCTACTATGAAAGTTTTCCTGTCAAACTACCCGTTCCCCTCCTCCCTTCCAAAAGCTTCAGATCTATAACACTGCTGCTACAAAAGACACAGAAGCACGCCCTCAGGAAAACTGCATGCATGTTCAGAATGGAAGGGAAAGAAGGATGGGAAGCAGAATCCTGGACTTTTCACAACGGCACCTCTACATCTCCAGTGAGAGGAGCCTGAGGATTTGGTCATACACCCCTCCAAACATTTCCGTCCTTTTTGTTCTGGAAAAATTTGTTTGTGCAGCCATAAGGCGCACCGGATTGGGGAAATTATACAGCTGAAAAATAAAACCGGCAAATAAAAATAAAGATCAGTGATCCAGATCACTATGAGGACACGAACAGCTGCATTGCTCAGCAGAAGAGGTGGGAGCAAGGAGGAGAAGGCAGGCAAGGATCTGCCAGCTTAAGTGGAAGCAGCCACGCGTGGATGGAAGAACTTTGCAGCAGCCACAGTAGTAGGCTCACTTCTGTGAAGTGTTAACTGCACTAGATAATACATCAGTCTTATCAATAATATAGCAAGTTGCCTTAAAGGACACCACATACAGACACATAAATTTACAAATAACAGACAACTGAAGGCAAGTTGATTCAGATTACTAGCCAGGATTATTTGCTTTATTTCTTCCAAGCATTGGGGAAAACAAAACCAAACAAATGAAAAGCAAACGCACCTATAAAATCACAGTTCCTAAAGTTGCACTAAGTTGTAACCTGAAAAAATTCATCAAAATGCAGATCAGTTTAGCTAAGTGCAATTACAGAAAGTTCTGTAAAAAGTACAAGCAGAACTAAACTGAATACATGAAAATACAGCAAACGCTAAAAGGACTATCTGAAGAACAAGGCTTTTATAAGTTTGAAAAATAAGAGAAGGATAAGAACACCAATTAGTAGGAAAAGTGATTTTTTTTTTTTTAATTAAATGTTGTCTTACTCTTTCAAGTACCAGTCTAAACAGTTTCACTCCCCTTTCACTCCTATCTAGCCATTTTTCCTTGTAGTTTGAAGCTCACAATAATTTTGACTACTGGTGCTCTAATAGGTAGCTTGTTAGCTTTTTCTGTTTACTCAATATAAACCCTGAATGCCACTGCATTACATAATTATAGAGTTATTCTGGTGTTTAAGACCTCATCAACATTTTCAAATAGAATACAAAATAAAATTCCTATTTAACTACTCCAAAGTTGTTACTGTACCCAAATTCGGAGATGAACATTTAACAAATAAGCGTTAGGCATTTCTTCCAGAAAAACTAACAAAATTTTTCTTTATGAAATGTTCTTTCCCTTTGCCTTAAGGTGTTTCTTCCAGCTAGACCAACACATTGATCAAAATGTGCGGAACACAGACTGCTTCTGAACTTTTAAAAGCAACTTTTCATAATGGGAGCTTTAATGGGACTTTTCTATACCGGAGCTCCATAATTTCCCTGCCACTTTAGAAATACAGGAAGGCTAGCATAGCCATGACCCAGCCCCTGGCTGCAGCCTTCCTGATGGGTGATAATCTATCAGAAATATAACTTTGCAAACCTTTAGAGTATGGAATGAGCCAGAGCAACTAAATCCCATCACCATCTTGTTCCCTGTTACTGAAGGTTACTGCAAAGGAACTCAGTTTTCCACTTAAATGAAGTTTTCTAATCAGTCCTACTCTTGTTCCTGACTTCACACTGAATAGCAGAAAGCATAACAGAGAAACAGAGCAGATACTTTCCTCACTTAAAAGCCTCCGGAAAGCCACATCTTTTATACATTATCAAGAGTTATCAGAGGGTAAGAGGCTGCGTGAAAAGGTTTAAACAAAGCAGCAAGTCCAAAGCAGACTCCCACATTTGAGGGTCTATGTGGTTTAAGCTTGGCACAACTAAAAGACATGTTTTCACTTGTGAATATAATGCCAAGTGTAGCCTATCTTACCAATACTAGGCTCTACCTATAAGCACAAACATCCAGACTTCAAAATTTTTCAATAATTTACATGATCAAGAGTTCTGATGATTAACCTGATGACAATTCTATAAATTATGTTATATTCTACTCGTGTTTGGAGACGTGTACCTATGTCAAATTAAGCATGGTATCTCAGTGCAGAGAGCAGACATTTTTCTGCTTAGGAAAAGCCATACAGCCTATCCACAACTCCTTCATTCAGTAGTTATTTTCATGAAGAGTAGCTCAAATAATTCATACAATGAGTATCAGAGTTAAGGCTCGGTATTTAGGATAAAGACAGATGTATGCTGTGGCTAAGAGGAAAAGTATTTACAAAGTATGTATCCTCTTACATGCACATATGCCATCAACACTGTTTGTTTGTGTTTTAGTTGTTTTTCCTCAACACTGCCCCTCTACACACACATTATATAAAATTCTGTACGTGGAAATTGTGTGTCTAGCCAATTTTTCTTCATTAAGTGTTTTTACCTGCTCCTTCCGAGTGGCAACAGTAATACCTGGGATCACTAAAAGCCCAGTACCGGCCCACTTAAAAATAAATAAATGCAGCACATAGCAGAGGGAACTTATGAGACCTTCCACTCCCTTTCAGAAGCAATTACCATTCACTGCTATGACAGACAGACAGTGAAGTCAGATGTAGATTCTTCTAGAAGTTGCATCTTGGAGAAAGAGGAACCTCTGTTGTCCCATATAACATCAGGTTCTATGCAGCAGACTTCCCGATCAGTTTGAAAGACCATTCTGAATGTCATTTCACAGGTAAAACACCATCTGTTGAGGTTGATCCTGTCATTACTCAACAGAAAACAACTATAAAACTGTGTATGAGAATAAAAAAAAATATTTAAGTGGTCCCCTCTCCATGTAGGCTCCATTTAATTACTTTGAAGTTCATTAGCAGTTTTGTCCTTCTTCCCTAGAGCTAACAAAACTCTCTTCAGAAGCTGGTGTTCTTGTTGAGGTTTCCCATTTTACACTGCTGTAAGGGAGCTCTTTTTTGTATGTAGTATAGATACCTCCTGACAGCAAGCCATAAGAGGAAACAAGACTTCAAATACAAGTAAACAGTTCACTCATTAAGCCTACAATGAGGCACTACTGACCAGCTTTGCATACAAAATACATTAAGTCACAGAAAGTTAGGGCAGACAACCCTTCCACTTCCCTTCATCAAGAACTAACTGCAATGATTTTCTCATGGAAATGAAAGTAACCCTGTCAGCAAGTGTGAAGTCAGAATTCAGCATTTCCATGACTTGTGCATAACAGGAAACAGATTACAGGAACTCTGTTTTACTGAACTTCTTAATAGACTTAGAAAATTTTTAAGAATAAGTTAGCTTGTTGCATATAAAGATGATTCTGAATTTAAAACCTACATTTGGTAAAGTAGCCAGAAATTTCTGGGCAATCTGCAGCAGTATTTATTTCCTACATTTCTAATCAAATTGTATGAGTGCAAGGTCTGTCTACTTTGGACTAAAACTGTTCAACATTAATGTCTATTAGTGTAAAAAGTTAATACTCTCTATTACTCTGCTCAAATTGAAATTGGCCAGAGATGTCAAAAACTACAACAAAAGGTTCTTCAGGTATGTAAACAACAAGTAGAAACAGAAGGAAAATATTGGCCCCCTTTTAAACAGGAGAGGTGAATTAGTTACCAACAATGCTGAAAAAGCAGAGGTTCTCAACACTTCCTTCACCTCTGTCTTTACCAGCACTGTTGGCCCCCAGGCCTTGGGAGCAAAAATCCAGGTTGATGCAAACACAGACCCACCGTCAGTGAAGGAAGAGTTGGTATGTGAACTACTACAGGAGCTTGACCCCTACAAATCGATGGGCCCTGACATTAACCACCCAAGGGTGTTAACGGAGCTGGCTGACGACGTTGCGAGGCTGCTCTCCATACTCTTTGAGAAGTTGTGGAGATCGGGGGACATCCCGGAAGACTGGAAGAAGGCTAACGTCACCCCCATCTACAAGGAGGGCTTAAAGGAGGATCCAGGAAATTATAGGCCCATCAGTCTTACTTCAGTCTCTGGGAAAGTTATGGAACGAATCCTCCTGGGGGCTATCAAGTCAAATGAAGCATATGATTGGGAAAAGCCAGCGCGGATTCGCCAAGGGCAAATCGTGCTTGACAAACTTGATTGCCTTCTACGACAAAGTAACCTGCTCAGTTGATGTGGACGTTGTCTACCTGCGTTTCTCCAAGGCTTTTGATACGGTTTCCCACAGCCTCCTCCTAGAGAAACTGATGTG